GAGTGCTCAAGACATTTAAGGACATAATAGCTTGAGTGAGTCCTTGGACAAAGATGTTTGCTGGATAGATCTTACAAAGATAAAAAAGTGATTTCAAACCGGAAATACTTTAACAATTTTTTTGTGCACCCAGTAGCATTCATGCATTGACGTAACTTTACCGTATAGAGACGCTTGAAGTGCTGGCAAATTGAAGAAGGCACCGAAGCTGGGGTATTCTGTCAAAATACAATCTTTATACACTTATATAAGCTAAATGACAACTGAAAAGTTATTCAGACGAAGATTGTCGGAATAATTTCGATAAGAGAACTTTGTGATAGCTTAACAGGACTAGTGACAATATATGTGACAATCCACATCCCTCAGAGCCATCAAGTTGACTGTCATCAAATAGAGAGCGATTCTTGGCTGCAAGAAACCCCTTCTACAACACGTTAACTCGAGGTGGTTCCCAGTAGTAGTTGTTGTTGTTGTAGCAGTAGTACATATATGTGTTTGCATTCTGGTTCAAGCTCCAGGTTTAAAAATTCGGCTACCTTAATGGGCTGTAGCCAGAGATCTTATGGAGTGAGTTGACTATGTTTGGCTGTGCAATTAAAGAGGTGCAGCGTATCTGGTTCAAGCTCCAGGTTTAAAAATTCGGCTACTTTAATGGGCTGTAGCCAGAGATCTTCTGGAGTGAGTTGGGTAATTTTGTCTGTGCAATTAAAGAGGTGCAGCGTATTGTGCGGAACTGTACCACACGCCGGGCAGACGTCAAGCACATCTTCGTCAATTTGTGTCCAATACGAACTGAGACAACTACACCATCCTGAACGTAATTGCGTCAAAACTACCCTGGTTTGTCTAGGCAGCTGGAGTTCTTCAGCTGCAATGGATGGGGGTGGACTCCGAGGACGGCATTCATTCTGTAACTGCTAATAGCATCCGCGACTGTGTCGGCATGAATGCCACTCAGACCTGCCTGATAGGCTTCTTGATCTAGAGGTTCTCTCTTATAGCGTTGAACCTCCCCCTCTAGATCGTGTATGTCCATCCTCACACGCCTGGTTGGGGGAGTTGTATCCACCATATGTTGGTTGGGATGACTCTCACGGTAACACCCAAGCCGGTACTGCAACAAAAGCAAATGATTATGCTGACGTAAGGGAAGGACTTTTGCCGACTAATATAGATGGTCCACTGGTGTCATGAGATGGCACCCTGTTGCAGTTCTCAGGGCAGCATTCTGGCAAGTCTGGATGTGGTTCCCAGACGATTGATCTATAGATTGACTAATATATTAGCCGATTCAGAAAGGCTTTTATCGAAGAAGCTGTCAAAATATGGCACTTGGAAACTGGTATCTAGGGCCAACTGGACGGCAATTTCGAGAAAAAGAACCTGTTTCCTGATTGACTGGGCACTGCAGTATAAGATATCTTACCTCTAGATGGGATGACGATATGAGTGCGAAGAACGAGAGGATTGAGACTATGCAGATGTCCCACACTGTCAAGCAAAATACATACAGGGTGAGATGAAAAAACTGCAACCAACTTCAGACTGCTGTCATTTCTAAGCCACTCGTCGGACAGCTGTTAAAATGATTGCAGTGACAGCTCATTATATTGTTTATAAGCGTACCAAAGCATTTTGGTGATAATTTTCCAGAAAAAAAGTTATTCGTGATGGAATTCAAGCTTGGCAGTGTGATTTCTTTTTATTTGGCTGGAAAACCACAAGTGGCTATCGTTAGAGCACTCCAGCATTTAAATGTGAATAAGTCTTTTGTGTCTCGTACCATCGCCCGTTACCATGATACTGGTAGCGTTGCCCGACCTCAAGGAAGTGGACGGAAGAAAACAGGAACATCAGCTGAAATGGTACGAAAAGTAAAGAAGCGACTTGATCGAGACCCGTGTCGCAGAGGCCGAAAAATGGCTCGTGAGCTCAACATATCGCAATATTCCATTCGGCAAATACTGAAAAATGAACTCGGGGTAAAGCCATTGAAATTCCAAAAAGGGCAAGAACTTACACCGCAACAGAAAGAGAATAGACTCAAAAGAGCTAAAGAGTTGCTTCGCTTGGCCGAAAGTTGTGAACTGCCTAATTTGGTTTTCTCCGATGAGAAAACATTCGTTGTCCAGCAGTTTTTAAACAAACAAAATGATCGTGTTTACTTGCCATAGAGGTCAGCTGAAAATGTGCACCTTCGGCTGGAATAAATTCCGAATATTATCGCGAAAATATCTGGAGGGTGTATTAAAGCCTTGGGCACGCAAAACATTTTGGCCGCAGACCTTGGACATTCCAACAGGACTCAGGTTCCTCGCTTCATTTCCACCTCACAATGGTCATCCAAACCCTCCGTATAGCAATCCGTTGGACTATTGTGTCTGGAGTATTTTGGAAAGCAAGGTTGGCACTAAAAAATATCAAAGTGTCGATCACCTCAAGCAAGCGCTTCGCCGAGAATGGTCCAAAATACCACAGAGCAACATTCAGGCAGCGTGTGACAGTTTCATTGGCCGTTTGAAGGCCACAATTCGAACCAAAGGTGACCAATTCGAACAAATCTAAACTTATTCTAAAATTTGATGTTATTTCCGACATTTTGTGCTATCATTTATTAATAAAATTGGAATAAAAAATTAAAAATCATGTCGTTTGACTTTGTTGCAGTTTTTTTATCTCACCGTGTATAGGTCCACGTTTTTGTATAGCACCTATATAACGGTGTCTCACGATATTCGGTTATTTGATGATTTTTGCCACATTTTTTCACGGATTTTTCTAAAAAATTATTATTTGCAGTTCATAATGGGTTCTAGCTCCGGTGGCAGAAGATTGAAAATTTAGCTCCACGTTTTCCTATAGCGCACATATTACGATATTCAGTATTTGGTGGTATTTCAGAAGATTTGCTAGATGACAATCGTTGAAGTATAAAATTGCCTACATAGTTTTCCGTTTTCTTAAGGGCCCCGTATAACGGCCTCACCAACTTTATGGTTTTTTGAAAGGTTTAACAACATTATCCAATCAGCATGCGCCACCCAAGAGGTTCCTCGCTTCATTTCCAGCGCACAATCGCCATCAAGATCTCCGGATACCAATCCGTTGGACTATTGTGTCTGGAATATTTTGGAAAGCAAGGCTAACACTAAAAAATACCAAAGTGTCGATCACTTCAATCAAGCGCTTCGCCGGGAATAGGCCAAAATACCGAAGAGCAACATTCGGGCAGCGTGTGATGGTTTCATTGGCCGTTTGAAGACCATAATTCGTGCCAAAGGTGACCAATTCGAACAAATCAAAACTAATGCTAAAATTTGATGCTATTTCCGTATTTGATGCGAGTCCGTCTGTCTGCCCGTCTGTGGAAAACACTCTAGCTTCCGAACGAATTGAAGTAGATTCATAAAATTTTACTCAAATGTAGATTATGTCTGCAGGACTTTTGGTATTGAAAATGGGCCATGTAGGTCCACGTTTTGGTATAGCCCCCACATAACGGTACCTCCCGATATTCGGTATTTTAATGATTTTATCTACATTATTCACCGGAATTGTTTCAAATTACCGCCTAAGACAGAAAATGGTCCGTGCAGGTCCACGTCTTCGTATAGCCCCCATATAAAGGTACCTCCCGATATTCGGTATTTTGATGATTTTATCTACATTATTCACCGGAATTGTTTCAAATTTGATATTTGAAGTTTGTAATGGATACTACAACCTAAAATAGAAAATGGTCTGTGCAGGTCCACTTCTTCGTATAGCCCTCATATAAAGGTACCTCCCGATATTCGGTATTTTGATAATTTTATCTACATTATTACCTTTTTTTTTAAGTTTCGCATTTGAATATTTTAAAGGCTTATGACAAATGTTACCTATGCAGGTCCATGTCGTCGTATAGACCCTAATATAACAGTTACATTCGGTATTTTTACTTACAGCTTTTTTACTTGTTTTTTTTTTTTAATTCTCTGGTTATGTCCACCATTTCTTAAAAAATCCTCCGAGTATATATTTTTCGGTTAGAATACCTTACATTTTCATTGTTTCCGGTTTTAAGTATGACCGCAATCCTCATGTGTCTGAAAATTCACGAGGTATTCCTTACATCTGCATAATAATATGGAAATTATTTAATGTTCCACTTTCTGACATCTCAAGGTATTCCCAAATTAACTAATGATCTAAAATCTTAATATGAGATTGTGGGGAAAAATATGAAATTTCTCAGGCGTACTACCAACAACAAACCAGGCAAACAATAGCAACGGCAGCAGAAACCGAACAGCCAGTGCCAGTGTCTAGAAACGTGCCATAAAATGGCATGTGACAGTAAAATAAACAAATATAGTAGTGATGTGTTATAATAAATGCCGATGCAACAATGTAGAGAGGGAGAGCGGGTCAGAGGAGAGACAGAGAGAGAGAGAGAGAGTTCATACGTTCTCAAATTGATGATTTGTTTGTATGCCTGTAACCAACCGCAAGATTATTATGCAAGCATTGAAGCGAGGTAATAAATGATTGCCATATCAGGAATGGACCGACCTAACCCATGTTAACTGTGGCCTCACACACGCTTGTCATACGGGAGGGCGAAAGAGGTAAGGAAGTACATTTGTGGCAAAATGCATTACAATGCCAACAAAACGGATGCATTAGCATTCGAATAGCCTTCCATTATTTTGCTTTCTATTAAAAAAAATTATGAAAAAAAAAACTGAAATAAAAATAGAACGAAATCTAATTGCCATTATTAATAATTGCTGCCATGGTTCTAGCTATCTTTCTATTCGTATGAAGAATGTTTTTTAATTTACTCTTGGATCCATGGCAATTTGCTTTTGATGGGCTACGAAGCAACAATTGATTTTCATTTAATAAATTTATAAAGTGGGAATACTTTACTTTTCTCTGGGCACACAGAGAAAAAGGGCCATCGTATGTAACAGTCATTGGAATGACATGTATCCCTGCACACCAAAACTTACCTTGCACGTGGCCAGCAAATTGTACAAGTCCTCCACCTCATCATTGTCCGTGGGCACATAATGTTTGCCAGTCTGTGTACTTTTACCTTTGGTCTCCTGACGATACAACGGCAAGCCCATGGCCTTAGCCAGAATTTCAATGCCCATGTGACCGACGGTCTGATACATAAAGCTATCAAGTTCATCTGTAATATAGAAGAAGAAAAAGCACAAATTGAAATATTGAAAATAAAAAAAAAAAAACAGTAAAGAAAGTCTTAAAGTCGGGCGGGACCGACTTTATGACGCCCTACACCACTTTGTTAATTAAGTAGAGCTCCACATAACAATTAAAAGTTTTTATGGGAGAACTCAATCACACACACTATGATTATAATTATAATTTAAAGTTCAAAGGACTAAATATGCCGAAGCATTTGTATATGTTAAATTCGGACTTGCATTGCCCATTTGGTGCACAATTAATGTGAAATCGGATATATGGTATATATGGGAGCTATATCCAAATCTGAACCGACCTCGATAAAATTTATCAAATGTCTTTCTGAGCTGTATTTGATATATTTCCCGGAATATCGTTGTTACGGAGTGCATATTACGGCTGTGGATAACAAATATAACGAATCGGATGAACAGTATATATGGGAGCTATAGCTATATCTGAACCGATCTTCACCCATTTTGACATACTATCTTCTAGACTCAATTCGGTCGTAAATGCCAAATTCCATCCCATTTGGACAAATATTAGACGTTTGGTGCACAATAAAAGGTAAATCGGACGAAGTTATATATGGGAGCTATATCCAAATCTGAACCGATCTCAATAAAATTTAGCAGATGTATTTTTGGGCTGTATTTGATATATTTCCCCCAAATATTGTTTTTATAGAGTGCATATTACGGCTGCGGAGGACAAAAATGACAAATCGGATGAACAATATATATGGGACCTATAGCTATATCTGAACCGATTTCGATCAAATTTGGCATACTTATTTTCAGGCCTAATTTGGTTGTATGTGCAAAATTCCATACTATTCGGCCTGATATTACACGTTTGGTGCACAATAAAAGGCAAATCGGACGAAGAAATATGTGGGAGCTATATCTAAATTTTTACCGATTATCTCCAATTTCAATAGGGTTCGTCCTTGGGCCAAACAAATGATTTGTACAAAACTTCATCTGGATAGGGCAATAAATGCGAACTGTACTTTGTTTACAAAATTACATGGACAGACGGACGGACAGACAGACAGACGGACATGCATAAATCGACTCAAAATGTGATTCTATGAAGATCATCAAAAGGAACTATGGGTCTATCTAGTTTCCTTTTGCCTTATACAAACAAATACACAAAGACATAATACCCTGACCACCTTGTGGTGTAGGGTAAAATAATATGTTGCTGGCAAAAAAATTGTTCAATAAAGCAATTCAATTGAACTGAACACCTGCGGATTTATATGATTTAAAGATAGAAATACCTGGACGATTGTCAAAGCTACAGCAGAGGATTACTAGAAATAGAATACTGGATAATTCAAAAAATTGTTCTAAAATTGTAATCGCGAAATTTTAAGAATGTTTTTGGAAAAGAGCCACTCGAGCTACAATTGCCGACAATTTTTTACGAGGATTACCCCAACCCATATATTTTAGAAATATTTTTTAAGCCACAAAAGTAGATTTGTTTTGAATAGTTTCTAGGGTAAAACTAGAAGTTTAATTCCACATTTTTAAAACTCATTTTTAAGGGACTACTCGAACTACATTCACAGGGGGTTTGAGAAATATTTATTAAATGTCTACTAGAGCTACAATCTTGGATTTAATAAGGAATATTAAGTAGGAGTTTGGAATGGAAAGAGAAATACAGGATTTTCTAAAAAATATTTTGTAAATCAACCGACTTCCACAATTTCATAACACTCAATCAATGAAAATTTGAGTGACCTGAGAAATTTCAATGTTGCCGACCATACGGATGTCCAATACATTATTTCAGCAAATATATTAATAATCGATCCTGTTGAGGTTCTTGATTCAAAACCGATAAGGCAACGATCAATACCTTTAACGATTAACTGTTTTGATCAAATAACAAGTAAAAACCATTAAGTTCGACCGGGTCGTACTTTTAACACCCCACACCATTGGGTAAAGACAAGATTTTTTATAAAAGTATCTGAATTCAAACGTTCTCCACTTTAAATTACAGTAAGACCATTTGGATAATGCTGGAAAAAAACCATAAAGTGGGTGAGGCCGTTATATGGGGGGCATACCAAAACGGGAACCTATGTAGGCAATTTTATACTTCAAGGATTGTCATCTACCAAATCTTCTTAAATACCACCAAATATCGAATATCGGAATATGTGCGCTACAGGAAAACGTGGACCTAAAATTTGATTATTGTGCTACAGGAGCTAGAACCCATTATAAACTACAAATACCAATTTTTACACAAATCCGTGGAAAAATGTGGCAAAAATCATAAAAATACCGAATATCGGGAGGTGCCGTTGTATGGGGGCTATACCAACAAATGTACCTATATATCCATTCTTTCGCCACCAGAGGTAGAATCCATTATGACCTACAATTACCAATTTCTAGATAAATCCTTGAAAAAATATGGCAAAAATCATCAAATTACCGAATAGCGGGAGGTACCTTTGTATGGGGCTATACAAAAACGTGGGCCTACACATACAAGGTTTCGCCACCGGAGCTAGAATCAATTATGATCTACAATTACCAATTTTTAGACAAATCCGTGAAAAAATGTGGCAAAAATCATTAAAATACCGAATATCGGGATGTACCGTTATATGGGGGCTATACCAAAGCGTGGACCTATAAATGCAATGTTTCACCAGATGAACTAGAACCTATTATGACCTACAAATACCAATTTTAAGACACATCCGCGAAAAATTTTTACAAAAATCACCAAAATACCGAATATCGGGAGGTACTGTTATGTGGCGACTTATCCAAAAGGTTTGCCGATATATTTCATTTTCAATACCAACCATCCTAGTCACAATACAAATTGTTGTGCCAAATTTTGAAGCACTACGTCAAATAATGTGGGCTGTATCGTGATTTCAACAGGCAGACTGACTGGTGGGGACAGCTAAATCGACTTAGAATTTTATGCTGATCATGAATATATACAGGGTGAGATAAAAAAATGCAACAAAGTCAAACGCCATCATTTTTACATTTTTTTTAATTTTATTGAATGAAAGCAAAAAATGCCGGAAATAGCATCAAATTTTAGAATAAGTTTAGATTCGTTCGAATTGGTAACCTTTGGCACGAATTATGGTCTTTAAACGGCTAATGAAACCGTCACACGCTGCCCGAATGTTGCTCTGCGGTATTTTGGCTTGCTTGAGATGATCGACACTTTGGTATTTTTTAGTGCCAACCTTGCATTCCAAAATACTCCAGACACAATAGTCCAGCAGTACTGGTATCCGGAGATTTTGGTGGCCATTGTGTGCTGGAAACAAAGCGTGGAACCTCATTCTGTAACCATTCTTGGGTGGCACGTGCTGAGTTCTGATCCCTGTTGGAATGTCCAAGGTCTGCGACCAAAATGTTTGCGTGCCCAGTGCTTTAATACAGCCTCCAGAATATTTCGCGATAATGTTCGGCATTTATTCTAATGCCACGGTCGATTAATACGAGCGGAGAGCGACCATCGGCTGTTATGGTGGCTCACACCAACACCATGGTCGGCGCTTGAGTTCTGGTGGCCAACCGAAGGTGAACATTTTCAGCTGACCTCTTTGGCAAGTAAATACGATCATTTTGTTTGTTTACAAACTGTCGTTGCTGGACAACGAATGTTTTCTCATCGGAGAAAACCAAATTCGACGGTTCAACACTTTCGGCCAAGCGAAGCAACTCTTTAGCTCTTTTGAGTCTATTTTCTTTCTGTTGCGGTGTAAATTCTTGCACTTGTTGGAATTTCAATGGCTTTACCCTGAGCTCATTTTTCAATATTTGCCGAATGGAATATTGCGATATGTTCAGCTCACGAGCCATTTTCGGCCACTGCGACGCGGATTTCGATCAAGTCGCTTCTTAACTTTTCGAACGATTTCTGCTGATGTTGCTTTCTTCCGTCCACTTCCTTGACATCAGTATCACGGTATCGAGCGATGGTACGAGACACAAAAGAATTTATTAACATTTAAATGCTGGAGTGCTCTCACGATAGCCACTTGTGGTATTCCAGCCAAATATAAAGAAATCAAACTATCACGCTTGAAGTCCATCACGAATAACCTTTTTTTCTGGAAAATTATCACCAAATGCTTTTGTAAACAATATAATGAGATTTGAAATAATTCCGGCAAATAATGTCGCTAAAATCATGGAGATAGGGAATATCGGGAGGTACCCCTATATGGGGGCTATACGAAGTCGTGGACCTGCATACGAAATTTTTTGCTATTGGTTGTAGTACCCATTAAGATCTTTCAATACGAAATTTGAAATAATTCCGGTAAATACTATCGCTAAAATCATGAAAACACCGAATATCGGGAGTTAATCTATATGGGGGCTATACGAAAACATGATGACCAATTTACGAACTTTACCGGTTTGCTGGTAAACTATGAATGTATGCAGCCTTACATCTTGTTCGTGATTACAACATACAGACAGACAGACGGGCATCGCTAGGTCGTTTTAGAATTTTACGCTGATCCAGAATTGTATATCGTATATAATTGTATATAATGCATAATGTATCTATGTATGTATACCCTCCATATAATGGTTGAGGGTATAAAAATATAAATAGAACGATGAATTTAAAAGAAGATACCGACAACATCAGTTGCTTTTATGAAGAGGCTACAATATAAACCTACTGTGATATACATTCAAATTGTGTTTTTAGAAACACAAAATTCATCTGACACTACCTAAGGAAATGTTAAAAATTCCCCAGAAATCGTCGCCAAAAATAGTGACGAAACGTCTGAAAAATTCAGTGTTTTATTTTTCATATTACAAAGCGTCAGCCAGCCAAATAAAAAAATCTAATAATATAAACTAGGATTAATTCTTTTTTTGAATTAACTCACCTCTATCCTTAGGATGTAAGTTGGCCAGTGCAACAATTTCATGACCCTCTGCCACACACTGCATCATATTGTAGCAGCTATCCTTGCCACCGCTTACCATGGCAACGACACGCATCTTGGCGGCCTTTTTTTGTCTGCGGTCTTATTTGTGGAAGAGGAAGGAGTTAGTTGAATGTGCAGGAGCGATGACACGACACGACACGCTCACCCACCCACACACACAAGATTTCGTTAAAGGATACAAAGAGTTTGGTTTCTTAATTTGGTCGTTTCTATAATACACATCCAGAACATTTGTGTTTATATTGTTTTTCCGATTACTTTTTCCGATATGAATGTAATTAACGGTGTGTATAATCTGAAAGAAAAGGAGAAAGGGTTGAGTTTGAAAAGAAAATAGAAGATATACATATTTTGAAATTAGAAAATGGATTAAAAGAATAAATATACAAATTTAAGTCCCATCGTGTTTGCTGACGGAAAAAAGACATGGGTGTAATATTTGCTTATAAGAAGTCGTGGACCTGCACAGACAATTTTAAAAAGTGCTGTAAATTCGGCTGGGACGAACTTTAAATAATCTCCACCATTTGGAACGAATTCGACAATTTTCAAAAAAATAAAATCCGTTAAAAATGCTGTTAAAATCTTAAAAATACCGAATGTAGCGATTATATTAGGGTCTAAACGATGACAGGATCTACGTATAACAGGCTGAAATATTCATTACGAACTTCAAATATCAAATTTGAATCAATTCCGGTGACTAATGTCGCTAAAATCGTCAATATACCGAATATGGGGAGGTACCGTTATATGGGGGCTATAAGAAGACGTGGACCTGCACAGACAATTTTCTGCCATAGGTTGTAGTATCCAATACGATCTTTAAATACCAAATTTGAAACAATTCCGGTGAATAGAGTCGCCAAAAGCATCAAAATACCAAATATCGGGAGGTGCCTTTAAATGGGGGTATATGAAGACGTAGACCTGCACGGACAATTTTCTGTCTTAGTATCCATTACGAACTTCAAATACCAAATTTGAAACAATTCCGGTGAATAATGTCGCTAAACTCATCAAAATACCGAAAATAGGGGGGTTCCATGATATGGGGGCTATACGAAGACGTGGACCTGCACAGACAAAATTCCGGTGAAAATTGTTGCAAAAATCATCAAAATACCGAATGTCGGGAGTTGCCGTTATATGGGGGCTATATGAAGACGTGGACCTGCACAGACAATTTTCTGTCTTAGGCTGTAGTATCCATTACGAACATTAAATACCAAATTTAAAACAATTCCAGTGAATAATGTCGCTTAAGGCATCAAAATACCGAATATCGGGAGGTGCCGTTATATGGGGGCTATACGAAGACGTGGGCCAAATATCGGGAGGTACCTTTAAATGGGGGCTATACAAAGACGTGGACCTGCACAGGGAATTTTCTGTCTTAGACTGTAATATCATATACGAACTTCAAATACCAAATTTGAAAAAAATCCGGTGAATAATGTCGCTAAAATCATCATAACACCGAATATCGGGAGGTGCTGTTATACGAGCGCTGTACGAAGACGTGGACCTGCACATACAATTGTCAGTCTGAGGCTGTAGTATCCATTACGAACTTCAAACAAAGAAAGAATTCCGGTGAATAGTGTCGCTAAAATCATCAAAATACCGAATATCGGGAGGTACCGTTATATGGGGGCTATAAGAAGACGTGGACCTGCACAGACACTTTTCTGTCTAAGGCTCTAGTATCCATTACGAACTTCAAACACCAAATTTGAAACAATTCCGGTGAATAATGTCGCTAAATTCATCAAAATACCAAATATCGGGAGGTGCGGTTAAATGGTGGCTATACGAAGACGTGGACCTGTACAGATAATTTTCTATCATTGGCTATAGTATCCATTCCGAACTCCAAATATCAAATTTGAAACAATTCCAGTGAATAATGTCGTTAAAATCAGCAAAGTATCGAATAATGGGAGGTAGCGTTATATATGGGGGCTATATGAAGACGTGGACCTGCACCGACTATTTTCTGTCTTGGGTTGTAGTATCCATTACGAATTTTAAATACCAAATTTGAAAAAATTCCGGAGAATAATGTCGCTAAAATCATCAAAATACCAAATATCGGGAGGTGCCGTTATATGGGGGCTATACGAAGACGTGAACTTGCACAGACAATTTTCTGTCTTAGGCTGTAGTATCTATTACGAACTTCAAATACCAAATTTGAAACAATTCCGGTGAATAATGTCGCTAAAATCATAAAAATACCGAAAATATGGGGGTTCCATTATATGGGGGCTATACGAAGATGTGGACCTAAACAGAAAATCTTCTGTCATAGGCTGTAGTATCTATTACGAACTTCAAATACCAAATTTGAAACAATTCCGGTGAATAATGTCGCTAAAATCATCAAAGTACCGAATATCGGGAGGTACAGTTATATGGGGCTATACGAAGACGTTGACCTACATGGCCCATTTTCAATACCAAAAGTCCTGCATACATAATATACATTTGAGTAACATTTTATCAATCTACTTCATTTCGTTCAAAACAGACGGACATCGCTAAATCGACATAGAATTTTGCTCTGTATATTTTGAGGTGTTACAAACGGAATGACAAACTTAATATACCCTCCATCTTAATCCTTATCCCAAAATATTTTCCTTCACTCTGCATCTGTCTTCCCTTCTTAAATTTTGCATCTTTTCCTTCTAACTATTCCGCCACCGTAAAAGATCTAATTGTTTATGGGTTAGTAGTTGCTTGGCTTTTTCTATGCATTTGCCGGATGGCAGTCGTCTTCTCATCATTTGGCAGCAGTTCAAAAAGCCAAATAAAAGATTGACACGAAACGATTTGCTTTGTTTGGTGAATGAGCGATTTTTATGCACAGCTTTTATTGTTGCCAATCATTTTGGCAATGTTTTCATAAATCCACGACCCTTATCCACCCACTAACCAGAACATAATGACAGAAAAAAAAACAAACGAAGAAAGCAAAATGAAAATCGTTAACACAAAACAATAAGGTATGTGCAAAGTATTTGACAAATAAGTGGTGTCTACGTTTGAGGGGTATTTTTCTTCCGAGGCGATGAGGGGGAGGGGAAATATTCTTTGAAGATTACAAAATATTTCGAAAGAGTGGAACAATTGGTCAATTGTGAACTAAGTGGCTCATGTTAGCTAATGTAGACTACTTCATTTAATGGTTTATCAGCAAAACACGTGATATTGTCTACCAAGGCTTACGACCTAGAAGTTGGTCTTAACATTGACTACTAAAGCCATACAGATTTGTATACCCTCCACCATACAATGGAGGGCATGTTAAGTTTACCATTCCGTTTGTAACACCTCGAAATATACATTTTAGACCCCACAAATTCTTGATCTGCATAAAATTCTATGTCGATTTAGCCATGTCCGTCCGTCTATCCGTCTGCGGAAATCACTCTAGCTTCCGAACGAAATGAAGTAGATTGATAAAACTTTACTCAAATGTATATTATGTCTGCAGGACTTTTGGTATTGAAAGTGGGCCATGTAGGTCTACGTTTTTGTATAGTTCCCATATAACGGAACCTCCTGATATTCGGTACTTTGTTGATTTTAGCGACATTATTCACCGGAATTGTTTCAAATTTGTTATTTGAAGTTCGTAATGGATGCTACAGCCTATGACAAAAATTTGTGTATGCAGGTCCAAGTCTTCGTATAGCCCCCATATAACCGTACCTCTCGATATTCGGTATTTTGATTATTTTAGCGACATAATTTACCGGAATTGTTTCAAATTTCGTTTTTGATGTTAGTAATGGGTACTGCAGCCAATTACAAAAATTTTTGTATGCAGGTCCAAGTCTTCGTATAGGTCCCAGATAACGGTACCTCCCGATATTCGGTACTTTGTTGATTTTAGTGACGTTATTTATCGGAATTGTTTCAAATTTGGTATTTGAAGTTCGTAAGGGATGCTGCAGCATATGACAGAAAATTGTCTGTGAAGGTCCACGTCTTCGTATAGCCCCCACATAACGGTACCTCCCGGTTGTCGGTATTTTGACGATTTCAGCAACATTATTCGGCGGAATCGTTTAAAATTCGATATTGAAAGATCTTAATGGGTACTACAACTCATGGCAAAAAATTTCGTATGCAGGTCCACGTCTTCGTATAGCCCTAATGTGAGGGTTTTCATTTAAGTTGTAGTTTTCGATTTTTTTTTTGAAATTCTTCAAATTCTTGAAATTCTTGAAGTTCCTACGGAATGGTGGAGGGTATTAAAAGTTCGGAAAGGTCGAACTTATCTGCTTTTTTACTTGTTTCTTTTTTTATAGCCTTAAAAGATCTTGTTTATCCACTAGTGCCTTTGAAGAAGTCTGCTGTACGTTTCATAGTCCAATCTATGAATTTTCAATGAAAAAAATAGATTAATTTAACTCCTGCTGTTTTCGATTAAAGAAAAAATATAAATAACTTACTGCTCCAGAAGAAAATGGATATAAAATAAAAAGGAAAAAACCTAATTAAGATGCATCTAGTGGCTGACACAACATCAAGGTTAACAATTATTAGCTAAAGAAAAAAAGGGGTGAACAGAGAGAGATAGACACGATGTAAACAAATCCTGTTGATAATATTTATTCTAGCAGTAGAGGATAGTTTGTTGCTTTTCCAAGCTTGCGTGTCATCGCATTTATAACGCCCACTAACAGAAATCTGTGCGACTTGGGAAGAATGTAAATAGCTAAAAGCTATTTACTTGGGGGAGTATAATTCAATTATTTTTGAAAGCATTATAGACTTTGTCATAATCTAAATGGTGGTTATTTGAATACACAGAAAGAAAAAAATATATTTTCAAAAAATGAGAATTTTTCAGAATGAACAATTTTTTGTGGTTGGACCAATTGGATGTAGGCCCTCAAAATCGGTCAGGTATGTGGCCCCAATGTGGTCTGTGAATACAAGCGTTATGCAGTGGAAGAGCATCCAGACCTGACAGAATGCTGCTTTGAGGACTCCGACAGGGTGCCTCCTCATGACACCAGTGGATCATTTACATGAGGAGACGAAGTTCCTTCCCGTACGTCAGCTTTTGTTACAGTAACTGCTTGGGTATTATCGTGGGAGTCATCCAAACCATTATATGGTGGATAAAATATTATCTAGAGAGGAAGGTCCAACGCTGTAAGAGATAACCTCTAGATCAAGAAGCCTATCGGCAAGATCTGAGTGGCATTCATACTGATGCCGCCACAGATGCCATCAACAATTACAGTATGAATGCTGCTCTTGTAGTTCAGGTAATAAATGTGCGCTGCCAACCCGGGGTTGTTTTGGCGTAATTAAGGATGGTAAAGTCGTCTTAATTTGTATTGGCCACGAGTTGTGCGAAATATCTGCCTAGTGTGTGATACAGGCCCGTACAATACGCTGCACCTCTTTAATTGCTACGACAAACAAATCCCATTTACGTGTTTGTTTTCTCTTTCGAGACGAGCTTAATGATCTGAAATTTGCAGTGAAAAGGAAAGCCAGATAGACACTATCACACACTCACCACTATGCGACGCGTTTCGCCGTTGGTTAAGCGGCTCATCAGGCATATTTGATGTGGATGATGGCTTAACAAGGCAAAACTCAAAAATTCAGCCGAGCCTGGCTGTGGGATTTGAACCGCAGACCTCTGTGTGCAGCCAACTAGAAGTTGCCGTCTCTACGTTCAGAGCCATTAACCCGTCTTCCTAAAAGCAGCACTAAAAAACAAGTGTATGCATTGGAAGCAATGTAGTTGTTGTGGACAAAAAATCCATCACTACAAAAAAACAAAACGTTGCTGTGAAAAAGATCTGCCAATAGAACTTGAGTCAAACCTGGAGAGTTTCTAGTGTATAATTCGCATATGCTAATTTGCAATAAGTTCGAAATATATACTACTTTCCAGAGAACGGCCCTTGTAAGCCATCATCCACATCAAATATGCCTGATGAGCCGCTTAACCAACGGCGAAACGCGTCGCATAGTGGTGAGTGTGTGATAGTGTCTATCTGGCTTTCCTTTTCACTGCAAATTTCAGATCATTAAGCTCGTCTCGAAAGAGAAAACAAACACTTAAATCATAAAACATATGATCTTCGCCTTAACAAGGCAAAACTCAATCCCATTTACTCCAGAAAATCTTTGATAACAACCCGCGAAAGTAACTGAATTTTTCAACCTGGAGTTAGAATCAGATTAGCAGATATAAAAAAACCCTCGTTTTAAATTTGGAGTTAGGGGAAGAATCAGATTAGCCAAACTCAACATGCAGCATGTATTGCTGTTGTAACAAGACAACGAAACCATTGCTCCTTTAGGAGAGGGGGGGGTGGTTTTTCTATACAGTGTTATTTATTGAAGAGTTGGTTCCAATTGCCTACAAATATCTTGCGATATAACAGAAAGATTCAAGATCGCAAACAAAAACTCCAAAACTGCTTCCACCTTCAGATTGCTGATGAAAGTGTGATTTCTTTATATTTTGACTGGAAAACCACAAGTGGCTATCGTCAGAGCACTTCAACATTTAAATGTGAATAATTCTTTTGTGTCTCGTACCATCGTACCACGTTACCGTAATACTGGTAGCGTAGTCTGACGTCCAGCGACGAGGGCGGAAGAAAACATCAACATCAGCAGAAATGGTTCAAAAAGTAAAGAAGAGACTTGATCGAAACTCGCGTCGCAGTGGCCGAAAAATGGCTCGTGAGCTGAACAAATTGCAATATTCCATTCAGTAGTCGGGGTAAAGCCATAGAAATTCCAAAAAGTGCAAGGACTTACACCGCCGAAAGTGGTGAAATACTGAATTTGGTTTTCTACGATGAGAAAACATTCGTTGTCCAGCAGTTTGTAAACAATCAAAATGATCGTGTTTACTTGACAAAGAGGTCAGCTGAAAATGTGCACCTTCAATCGGCTAGCAGAACTCAAGCGCCGGCCATGGTGATGGTGTTGGCCGCCATAACAGCCATTGGTCGCTCTCCGCTCGTATTAATCGACCGTGGCATCAGAATAAATGTCGAATATTATCGCGAAAATATTCTGGGGGGTGTATGAAAGCCCTGGGCACGCAAACATTTTGGCCGCAGACCTAGGACATTCCAACAGGACTCAGCACCATCACACTCAGCACGCGCCATCCAAGTGTGGTTACAAAATGAGGTTCCTCGCTTTATTTCCAGCGTACAATGGCCACCAAAATCTCCTGATACCAATCCGTTGGACTATTGTGTCTGGAGAATTTTTTGAAAGAAAGGTTGGCACTAAAAAATACCAAAGTGTCGATCACCTCAAGCAAGCGCTTTGCCGGGAATGGGCCAAATTACCGTAGGGCAACATTCGGGCAGCGTGTGACGGTTTCATTGGCCGATTGAAAGGCATAATTCGTGCCAAAGGTGGTCTATCTAAACTAATTCTAAAATTTGATGCTATTTCCGACATTTTTTGCTTTCATTCAATAAAATTTAAAAATATAGCGTTTGACTTTGTTGTATAATTGCCAACCACGGATTCCACACACAGCAGCATTGCTGGTCACATCCACGAGGATTAAACCAGAACAAGCCGTGTAATCAACACATGCTCTCTGTAGATGAGAAAAGAGCTGAATGTGTAGATCGAGAAATATAATGCTCAAGTCGTCCGCGCGAGCACCAGGTATCTGCACTTAACAGCACTTAGGCTGCGGAAAAAAATTTGATGCTATTTAGATTTGTTCGAATTGGTCATTTTATGCGGCCCAAACCATCACCATGGCCGGGGCTTAAGTTCTGATGGCCAACCGAAGGTGCATATTTTCAGCTGACCTCTTTAGCAAGTAAACACGATCATTTTGTTTGTTTACAAACTGCTGGACAACGAATGTTTTCTCATCGGAGAAAACCAAATTCGGCAGTTCACCACTTTCAGCCAAGCGAAGCAAATCTTTAGCTCTTTTGAGACTATTTTCTTTCTGCGCGGGTGTAAGTCCTTACACTTTTTGGAATCTCAATGGCTTTACCTCGAGCTCCCTTTATTTAATATTTGCCGAATGGAATATTGTGATAGGTTCAGCTCAAGAGCCATTTTTCGGTCACTGCGACGCGGGTTTCGATCAAGTCGCTTCTTTACTTTTCGAATCATTTCTGCTGATGTTGCTGCTTCTGTTTTCTTCCGTCCACTTCCTTGACGTCGGGCTACGCGACCAGTATCACGGAAACTAGCTATGGTACGAGACACAAAAGATTTATTCACATTTAAATGCTGGAGTGCTCTAACGATAGCCACTTGTGTTTTTCCAGCCAAATATAAAGAAATCAGATTATCACGCTTGAATTCCATCACGAATAACTTTTATTCTGGAAAATTTTCACCGAAATGCTTTTGTACGCTTGTAAACAATATAATCAGCTGTCACTGAAATAGTTTTAACCGCTGTCGGATGAGAGGCTTAGAAATGACAGCAGTCTGAAGTTGGTTGAAGTTTTTTTTTATCTCACCCTGTATATTTAAAATTTTTCTTTTTAAAACTTTCACACAAGATAATATGACTAAGTCATTAACAAATTTTATCAGCAATTGAAAAGTGATAGTAAAATTAAAAAATATGCCAATTTTTATTATCGAATATGATGGCAAATTAAAAAATCTGCATGAATAATCAAATGCAAAAAATATCATAATTTATTTTACTAAAAAGAAGAGCCCAAAAGTGTTATGACACTCAAAAGGGAAGGCGGAGAAAGGTAGAACATTTTTTGTTGGTAAGTGTTGTCATGATTGTACAAGTTGTGTGTCGCCAAATGTATACTTCAAAATGTTTGTTTGTTTTTTTTTTGTCATAAGAAAAGAACAACAACAAAAAATAATAAAAAAGAAGCAAAGTTATCCAAATCACCTGAAAGACTGTCGAAGAAGTAAGTCAGGTATAATTCATTCAAATAGAAGATGTTGATAAAGAAAAAGGTGATGGGCAATCAAGTCAACTGATGCCAATGACGACAATAACAGAGGGATGTGGCTACTTGTATTTGTTTGATGATGTATTTATAGAACATGTGTTTATTTTAGATGCCAAATTTGCAAATTTGACAAAAGAATAATAACAAAAAAATCACACACACACACACATACGCTAAATCAACAACATCACCCTACAGAACAGACAAACTGAAGGTCAACATACATAAAAATATTCTGATGATAAACATAGAGAAGCAAAAAAGAAAAGAAACAAAATGAAAGAATTTTGTTCTTTTTTTTTGTTTTCGTATCAAAAGTGGAGGCCAGGGATTACTTGGGTATGGAGAATAACAAAAATGATTGCGTGCTGGGGGCAGGCAGCAAACAGCAGCCAAATAGGCGAACCAAAATCATATGACATGTGTTGTATTTATAAAATGACCTACATAATTAATAAAGAAAAAAAAAAAAAAAAAGAACAACAACAAACATACAGAGGATATTTCCCAGCCAACCCCCAAAAAATATACACATTTTTTCTCAATAAAAAAATGTCAAGAAAACGTCTGCCTCCTACTGACCCAACCATATGACAAGTGAATCAACGAAAGAAACAAAATAAGGCTACATACAGCACACACAAACATACACTTGTATTTTTAAATACCTACATACAAATTTACAGTTGCGTATTTCCTCTGTCCATTGGTTTGTTTGTTGTCATTAGCTGACTGCGGCGGCGGCGACTGTGTTTGGCTTGACTGGGCGCTGCAATGTTTAATGTTTGTGTTATTGTTGATTTGCATTCGAACTTTGAACACTTTTTGTTGTTGATGTTGTTTGTCAATTACAATGTTATCGCACTACATTTTCCTCCAAAACATCCGCACAAAATACACACTTTCTACTAAATTTACATTATAATTTCCATATTTCTTCGCTTTTGCTCTGCGACGTTTTTTTTTATTTGGAGCAGAGGATATACAGTACCGCTCTGCTGTCAATTTTTTGCACGCTCTCTCTCTCTTCCTCTCTTCAATAAAAAAAAAAAACAGTAGCGCAAACACACACTTTATCTATTTATTATCTACTTTTCAGTGGGGAGACCTTTTTGGCAAAATTTTTTTTATCATTTATGACAAAAGGGTTTGTTGTTGTTTTCCGTTTTCGTTATACACGTTTGCAAAAACACATTTTCTTCAACAAATTTTGCAAAATTTCACATGTCACATACACAACGAACATTTGTTTGCGATTTTTTTTTGTCCAACATGGCATAGAAACCGCTGACCATTATTCCGTATCAATCGCAAAATCTATTCTTAAATGTCCACTAACCATAAGGATAATCCACGCCTTACACGAGTTTTCCTTTTGACCGCTGAGGACAACCTCCTTCCAAAAGGCTCCCACACAAGCAGCCTTTTGGGAATATTAATTTGTTGTAGTGTTTTACTCAATTTTACTTTGTGGTGAGGTTTTCCCAATGTTGCGGAGTGTTCTCAACACTAAGTAACCGTCAAAAGTAATTTTTCCGAACAAATTTTTGGTCAATAAAACAATTGTTTTTAATGGCACGGTACAAGAGCAACTGTTTTGTCTGGCGCCGCTTTCAACAACGACGGAAATGTAATACTTTCTGCCGGCTTTGACGTAGGCAAGATGACGTTTATAGATGTGTAGTTAGTGGGAGAGTAACGTAATTCAAAACAGCTGTCGTACACAATTATTGCGTTGGCTTAAACACACATTTGGACTCGGTAGGCGTTTAAAAGGTTTTACAAATACACCATGGTAGAAGAAGACAGGTAGATGCATCAACGCATGGGAACATTGATATATCAAAAAATTTTAAATGCTTTCTCAAAAATTTGTAAATTTTTACATGTTTCCTATACGACGCCAATCGGAGGTTGTTGTTATATGCCTTTTTTAACAATTTTTGCAAATTTGAATAATTTTTCCATGGCAAAACAATAAAGGTAAAATCACTTGCTAAATTAAATATGGCAATACAATATGGGTGAGATGAAAAAACTACAACCAACTTCAGACTGCTGTCATATCTAAGCCACTCGTCCAACAGCTGTTAAAATTATTCCAGTAACAGCTCATTATATTGTTTACAAGCGTGCAAAAGCATTTTGTTAAACATTTTCCTGAAAAAAAGTCATTCGTGATGGAATTCAAGCGTGATAGTATGATTTATTTATGGGTAGAGGCTGGCAAACTACAAGTGGCTATCGTTAGAGCACTCCAGCATTTAAATGTGAATAAATTTTTTGTGTCTCGTACCATTGCTCGTTACCGTGATACTGGTGGCGTAGCCCGACCCGTCAAGGAAGTAGACGCTTTTTGGAATGGCTTAAGTCATCGACTGGCTTCTGCGGAAAAGAACAAAGAAGAAAAGGGCCAAAATCGAACTAAGTCAACCTAAAACTCTTTTGTTCCTCTACGAAGAAGCCAGCCGGTGACTAAAGGTGCAAGTACATAAAAAGCTTAAAGTCATGGCTAGGCATATTAATGTCAAATTATAACGGAAAACGACGGCAGGATTTTGGTGCGACTCTGTAATTCCTTCATGAAATGTCACAAAATATGCCTTGCCATGACTTCAAGTTTCTTATGTATTTACACCTTTAAGCCAGCCAGAATAGCCTTTTAAGTACTCTCACCTTAAGATATGAAATGTATAACTGTTTTTACGTTGCAAGGAAGGCCAAACAACATTTCTGTAAAAATAATAAATATATCAGGAATGAACAAATTACAAGTTCGAGTTCGTTGAAAAATGGTTACCATATTCGATTTAGCAAATAAGTCCACCTGCATTGTTTTGCTTTGTTTAATTTGTTGTTTTGACAAAAAGACACTGCTTTAGAGTTGTATTTTTCGTATTCACGTCAAGTTAATCTACCTTTATTTTTGTGATATGGTCTAAACGGGTAATAAGCTAACAACATTAATAGAAAAGGTAACAATAAGCAATGGTGGAAATTCATAAAATGTATATTTGGCTGACTTAACTCATCAGCTGGCTTCTTCGTAAATGAACAAAGGAGTTTTAGGTTGACTTAGTTCGATTTTGGCTCTAGGCTCCTTTGTTCATTTACCAAAAAGCCAGCCAGATAAGCGCTTTATGTATTCCCACCTTAATTATATACACATACATATGCTCTGTTCCAGTACCTGCAAGAATCTACCAGTTTTGCAATTTTCTTCGATATCATAAAGCGAAAATCGGATATCGTAGTAAAAGCTTTTACATTCTTGCAGTTCTGGAACAGAGACAGTGAATTCCTATCTAATAAAGAATGGTAATTCGTTTATCCAAACCAGTTATAATTGGTGTATTGTCTTTGACATAATCACAAACAGCTTCTAGGTCTGTCATTTCTTTTCTGAAAGGGAAAAAGACGGAAATATGTGTCACAATTGAGATTTTAATAATTCGACAACATTGACATGACATCTTCCTTAGATACACTTACTGCAAATCTTGGCCATGATCTCGAAACATTGTAAAGCCTCCACCACCTTCGGCAATAAAATCGGAAGTTATAATGCGATAAGTCTCTTCAACATCCAAGGGCAAATATGTAGGTACCTCACAATTCTGACAGAGGACTTTAACATTTTGAACTCTCCTGCCCAAGGGTTGGGTAATATTATAGGTAATTTTCAAACCAGATACTTGAAGGAATATGCTAGACGTAGTTTTGCCTACATCCATATCTATTTCGTTTAAACTAAATTCCAAGGCATTTAATAGCTCCAGCCCTGGAAGGCTGAAGGCTGTCATTTTGTTCTCAAACGGCGACATGGTTGATAAATGTCCATAGGAAAGATCTGAGGGGAAGGAAGTAAAAAAGAAACAAATTTACGAAATGAACAAATTGGATGACGTACTTCCTCTGGTTAGCGGCACTCGTATGGCTCCCGTATTAATGAGCGCAATAGAAGCTTGTGACCAGTAGACATTGTCATAGGGTGTTAATTTGGTAAATGCATAGACTGCTGCATCAGCAAAAAAGTTGCCAATATTACATTCCGTCCGATCACAATTATCCTTGAGGAGATCCACTTTGGTCTCGCCAATAATCTGGGAAATCTGTTCGTCCAACAATAGTTTCCAAGGTTCCATGGTGTCGATGACATCTTGAGCTGGAATCAATTGAATAAATGGTTGATTTTTTAGAAGATTGATTTTTGATTTTTGCGTTAAATATGAAGCTGTTAAGGTGGGAATATATAAAGTGCTTATCTGACTGACTTAAGTTATCGGCTGGCTTCTTCGGAAATGAACAAAGGATCCTAGAGTCAAAATCGAACTAAGTCAACCTAAAACACCTTTGTTCTTCTACGAAGAAGCAAACCGATGTGAGCTTTATGTATTCCCACCCTTAGGGCGCATATTTGGCCGGCTTGTTCGTAGATGAACAAAGGAGTTTTAGGTTGACTTAGTTCGATTTCGGCCCTAGGCTCCTTTGTTCATTTCCGAAGAAGCCAGCCGATGACTTAAGCCAGCCAGATAAGCGCTTTATGTATTCCAACCTTTAGGATGCAAGTACATAAGAAGCTTGAAGTCATGGCTAGGCATATTTTGTGACATTTCATAAAGGGATTACAGAGCCGCACTAAAATCCTGCCGTCGTTTTCCTTTATAATTTGACATTAATATGCATAGCTATGACCTCAAGCTTTTTATGTACTTGCACCATTAGTCTTCGGTTATTTGCTCAGATGTGTATCGCACGGAATTAGGAGAATGAAGTTCTACGGGCTATATACAGGGTGAGATAAAAAAAAAATGCAACAAAGTCAAACGCCATAATTTTTAATATTTTTTTAAAAATTTTATTGAATGAAAGCAAAACATGTCGGAAATAGCATCAAATTTTGAAATAAGTTTAGATTTCTTCGAATCGGTCACCTTTTTCATGAAATATGGCCTTCAAACGGCCAATAAAACCATCACACGCTGCACGAATGTTGATTTGCGGTGTTTTAGCCCATTCCCGGCGAAGCGCTTGCTTGAGGTGATCGACACTTTGGTATTTTCCTGTGCCAACCTTGCTTTCCAAAACACTTAAAACACAATAGTCCAACGGATTGATATCCGAAAATTTTGGGGGCCATTGTGCGCTTGAAATGAAGCGAGGAACCTCATTTTGTAACCATTCTTGGGTGGCGCGTGCTGAGTGCGATGGTGCTGAGTTCTGTTGGAAGGTCCAAGGTCTGCGGCCAAAATGTTTGCGTGCCCAAGGATTTAATACACCCTCCAGAATATTTTCGCGATAATATTCGGCATTTATTCTGATGCCACGGTCGATTAATACAAGCGGAGAGCGGCCATCGGCTGTTATGGCGGCCCACATCATCACCATGGCTGGCGCTTGAGTTCTGGAGGCCAATCGAAGGTGCATATTTTCAGCTGACCTCTTTAACAAGTAAACACGATCATTTCGTTTGTTCATAAACTGCTGGTCAACAAATGTTTTCTCATCGGAGAACACCAAAATCGACAGTTTACCACTTTTGGCCAAGCGAAACAACTCTTTAGCTCTTTTGAGTCTATTTTTCTTTCTGTTGCGGTGTAAGTTCTTGCACTTTTTGGAATTTCAATGGCTTTACCCCGAGCTCATTTTTCAATATTTGCCGAATAGAATATTGCGATATGTTCAGCTCACGAGACATTTTTCGGATACTTGGCGCGGGTTTCGATCAAGTCGCTTCTTTACGTTTCGAATCATTTCTGCTCTAACGATAGCCACTTATGGTTTTCCAGCCAAATATATAGAAATCACACTCTCACGCTTGAATTCCATCACGAAATACTTTTTTTCTGGAAAATTCTCACCAAAATACTTTTGTACGCTTGCAAACACTATAATGAGCTGTCACTGGAATAATTTTAACAGCTGTCGGACGAGTGGCTTAGAAGTGACAGCAGTCTGAAGTTGGTTGCAGTTTTTTTCATTTCACACTGCATATGTCAAACTTAAATCTAATGGAATTTAAACATAAATTCATTTTTTTAAAATTTGTTGACGTATTTGCAATGCAATTGACAATTTAAGTCCTCTGAGTATATTATATGTATACGTGTTTTAACTCATAGGCCCGTTCTTATATCCTTACTTTTAAGTCCACTTTTGTTATCCCTTGCTTTAGGAAAAGTGAAGTATAAACTTCACATTATCGGGTTCTCATTATTGCATCTTTCCTTTAAAGTATATGCATTTTTTACAGAGATATGGCAAGCTTTATGTAAAAGTAACTGATAGTCACTGCATTTTTTTCACAATGGCATATTCATTTTAGTTTAAAAATAATAAACAAAATGCGAATTTGTAATTAATTTCGTGAAATAAATTTATAATTCAGTTCTTCAATATAAAATAAACGATTTGGTTTATCCGTTTTTGTATTTAAATAAATGTTGCTGTTATTGCCATATTATCAATAAAAAATATGGCAACATGATTTCAGTAAACGTTTAGTTAAAATATATAGGGAAGATGGTCTGACCTATTGCTTATCGGACAGTTCGTACCATGGTAGAAGAATATAGGTAGGCGCATCGACACAGCTGCTGGGACAATGAACTGTCAAACAAATTTTGGAATTGAAAATGTTGAATGAAAAACTGTTTAAATTTGTAAAAATTGTTGAAAAAAAATACGGTCGGAGGACGACGTATAAAAAACATATAAAAATCTGTTTTTTTGAAGAAACGTTTAAAAATTGTTGACATATCAATGTTACCAAGTGTTGATGCATCTACCTGTATTCTTCTATCATGGTTCGTACTTAAATGAAACTTGTAATAACGAAAAACGATTTATATGACCGACAACATCACTTTTTTATCCATCGTCAAGATGTAATAACCGGCCATAGTGTATGCCATGGTAGAAGAATACAGGTAGATGCATCAACGCTTGAGAACATTTATATGTCAAAATTTCTAAAATGTTTTGTCAATAATAAGTAGATTTTTTATATGTTCTCTTATACAACGCCATTCGAAGGCTATAGTAATACGCGTTTTGAACAATTTTTACAAATTTAAATAATTTGTCATTCAACATTTTCAATTTCAAAATTGGTTTGACAGTTCATTGTCCCAGCAGCTGTGTCGATGCGACTAACTGTATTCTTCTACCATGCTTTTGGTTGTGTATGTATACGTAAACAAACATCAGCTGAGTGACATTTGTATCCTTCGAAAGGTAAGATAAACCCACTGAAACTTGTGAACTCAATATAAAATGATAAAACTTTCACTTTTTTTCACTCTTTTATTTTGACAAGTCAATTTTTCTTCCACAAAACGCTAAAGTATCGAATAGATCATATGACATACTTTCTTAAGCTCATGTGTATTTGTGTTTTGTTTTTCTTTTATAAATCCATGGCACATTTTTTCAAGGTAAATTCACTTCATTTGGGGATAATCAGCTCTAAATTTTCTGTCATCCGCATGGTAAAACAATTTTCGTCTCTGATTTGTGTATTAACAATGGATCATGGCATCAACGCTTGGGAACATTGATATGTCAAAATTTTTAATTTTTTTATGAAAATAAGTGGATTTATAAATGTTTTTATACGACGCAAATCAGGGGTTGTTATAATTGAATTTTTCAACAATTTTTACAAACTTTAATAATTTTTCAATCAACATTTTCAATTCCAAAATCGGTTTGACCGTTCATTGTCCCAGCAGCTGTGTCGATGCGACTAACTGTATTCCTCTACCATGTTTTTGATTGTGTATGTATACGTAAACAAACATCAGCTGAGTGACATTTATATCCTCCTAAAGGTAAGGTCACATTGAGCAAATATTTGACGAAAAATGTCAAATATTTCTTTGCCACAATCTGACCACCAAATATTATTTGACGGTAAATACAAAAACAGATGATTTTGGGAAAACAAAATTATTTGCCAGAAAACAAAAATTTGACCAGTGTGTCCATAATGTGAACTCCTATGATCAATTATTTTCCTTTTTTTTGGTCAAACATTTATTTGACGGTGCAAATGTTTTGTAAGGTCAAACAAGGAAAAATATCAGTTTAAAACATTGGGCAGCATTTTGCTTTAAGAACAGGAGCATTTGTAACATGATGTTTAATGAATAGAAAAGCAAACGAATACAATAGGTGGTTTTGTTTATTTGATATTCTTGAATTAACTGAATTTGAATGTTTAGTAAAAATTTAATATATGGTCTGTTCCAGAACTGCAAGATGTAAAAGTTTTTACTACTATTACCGATTTTCCCTTAATTATATCGAAGAAAATTGACAAACTAGTAGATTCTTGCAGGTTCAGGAATAGGATATAGGTAGATGCATCAACGAAACATTGATATGTCAAACATTTTGAAATGTTTTGACAAAAATAAGAAGATTTTTCTATGTTTTCTTTTGCGTAATGATATGTATTTTTCAACAATTTTTACAAATTTCAATAATATTTCATTCATTATTGTTTTGTCAGTTCATTGTCCCTGCAGCTATGTCGATGCGACTACCAGTATTCTTCTACCGTGATACAAACATACAAAAATGCAAAAAAAAAAATGTTCTGACAAGGAATTTATTCCACAACAGCTGGTCATTTGCTTCCCTTCTCCAAATAAATTATACCCGAAACTCCATTTTCTTTATGTCTCTCTTTCACTCTCTCTGTCTATTTCTCTCGGCCAAATAAATATATATTTCCTCACAGTTTGATCAAACAATTTATTGGGAAAATATATTTTACGAATGTGAACATGTGTCAAACATGTTTCCCCATAGCACTATTTGACGCTATTTGGTGACTGTTTGAACAAACAAAATCTGTCAAATATTTGACTGTAATGTGAACATCGAATCAACTCTGTATGAATTTCACATTTGTTCAGTCAAATATGGGAAAACAAATTTCGATCAAATATTTGCCCAGTGTGACCGTACCTTAAGGGTGTATTTAAACACACAAGATAAATCCAAACAAACATTTTACTCATTTCTCACTCTTTTATTTTGACAAGTAAATTTTTCTTTTACAAAACGCTAAAGTATCGAAGAGATCATATGACATATTTTCTAAAGCTTATGCGTATTATTTTTTTCTCCTATAAATCCATGGCATAATTTTTTCAA